ATATTGGAATCAGCCGCTGATCAGTTTCAGTTGTTTCGTGTTCCTCAGTCTTAAAAAGTTTAAGAAACACCGCTCTATATAAAACCATGGTACACTCACATCTTAAATACTGCATACAGATGTGATTGTCTCATCTTTTCCACCTTGGCATTGGAAAAGGCTCAGAAAAGGGCAACAAAAGTGATTAGGGTTTGAAGGGGTCCCATATGTTTTCTCAAACTAATCTCCCTTTAAAGGGGAATAGCCCATTTGAAGAGGGAGAGGGCTTTAAACCTGCAGGTTTTGAGTCTGCCATGTTATAAAGACCAAAGGGTGTCAACAGTCATTGATATGCAGTTCAACTTCAGTCATCCTATTGAACCATTTTAAGATAAAGGTAATCAAAGGAGTTTTGAAGAAAATCAGAAGGTTTGCAGGTGACTTAGCCAAAGCTAGCAACTAATAGGCTAGATACTCACCAGGTATCAACTTGCTGCCACTGTCTTCGAATTGTAAGGGAATATCATGCTGTTCTACCCTTTACCCTCACATGGGTGCACAAGCTAAATGTGCTGGAGCCAACAGACATTACACTAGGGTTGCCAGATACTTTAAAAAAACCCAAAATACCCCAAACATGGCAGGAAAAAAATTGGTTGAGGGAAAAAACCAACAATGGGGGACCAAACTTGCTGAGCAAAAACCAGACGTGACTGGGAAGAATGTCCCCACTGGTGTTCCGTCTGAGAGAAACAGAAAATACCAGACATTTTACATGTCTGGTATTTTCTGGGTTTTTTTATCGGACAAAGGCGGCAAAAACCGGACTGTCCAGGTGAAAACCAAACATCTGGAAACCCTAATATTATTCAATCCACATGAACACACACTTACAGAAGAATGTTCACTCTTTTAGTAAAAAAAAGATAAAAGGCAATTTGTTTTTATAGTAAATTAGTAAGGCTCTAGTTGTATCTCTTATGTATTTTAATCTTGAGTGTTTTAATCTAGACTAGCATTTCAGTTAAAAAGTCAGCAACACACAGAATCAGCTACAAAAGCTAGCTTTACCAATTATAAAAACCTATAGTTACATTTCCAAATGTGGGAGCATAAAACGCAAAAGCTGAATTCCTTTTTTGGACTACAGAGAATAAGGCTTTCCTGTAAAGTATATTATTGTTATTTGTAGTGATACTAAAACAAGGTCTGACCCTAATAAAGTGTAAGTGGAAAGTTCCTAGAAACTAATAACCAGTAGAGCTAAGAATTTTTATGTAAAACCTATTTATTTGGTAGATTAATCAACAACAAGACTTCAACTAATGTGACAATTAATAGAATAATCTCAAAAATAAATCTAGTGTCCTTGAATTATAGAATCTAACAAATATTCCGGATTCTATTAATGAAGAGGTTGGGAAAACAATAAAAAAGATTTGAAAACCATAGGAAAGAGAAGGATTTCATACTATTTTTCTTCTTATGTTGGACCCCTTCAGTTCAATGAATTATATCCATAAATAAATGTAAATATTACTTCAAAACTGTCAGAATATATACAATCTAAATTAATTTATATTTTCATAGGCTATGTAATAATAGTATGAGGACACTCCAGGGATTTTTTAGTGGTCCATTAGTATACTGCATCCCTTGAGAGCTTGAAGGAACTCCACTGAAGGCCTTATTCCTTACAATGACCCAGGATGTATTTTAATGGAGCACTTAACCATGTCCCTTATTGTGCCTTAATGCTGTATTAAAAATGCTTACTCTCATTTTGATCCTTCATTATAGCAGAAGGGAAACTCGTTTAAAAATTCTCATATCAGCGGTCTACAGCAGACTGTCAGAGTGATAGATAATAGGAAGAGTAGTCTCATCAGTAGCCACTTCCATTGGAAACTTTATTTTCAAATACATTGCACCATGCATCTTCTCTCCATAGAACTTTTGGAACAGATGTGCTAAGCAACAAGGGTAAAGTTTCTTTTAAATTCTTTGTTGATGATTTAGTGTTGGTGGTAAATGTAATGCCTACTACATTTTCCCAAGAATGCATTTTTTACCAATGATGATAATGACGGTTATTAGGGCCTCAGAGAGATTTAAAAGGAACCAATGATGAATGAATAAATAAAAACCATGATGACTCATTCTATACCCTTGCCATTAGTATAACATAAAATCCCCAAACAGTCAGATTTTCCCTCATTTCATCTATTTATACATTTTGCTCAATTCTAGACTTAAATAAGGCAAATTTACTTTATTCCAAAGTAATTATTATATGCCCTGTGAAACATCAGAGACGGAGCAGGCAAAAGGATAATGCAAATCGCATGCTAGGAACATGTTTTAATCAGGCTTCTTCTGAGCTCTCAAACAAGGCATAGTAGAACAACAACATTCTGTCAGGCTATATGTTCATTTCTTGCTTCCTGGATTAAGCATGCTTATTCTATGCCACATTTTTTACCGCTTTCTATTCTTGTATTTTAAATCTATTAAACAATGTCAACTTGAATTTCCTTCAAAAACTGCTTCAGGTTAAGTAAAAAAAAAAGTAGGATCTTCGAGGGCTAGCTTTTATGTCAGCTAATTAATATGGATCATTTGTAGCTTTGCAAATATCTTTTTGTGTTTGTGTGTGTGTGCATGCATGAAAGGGATGAATATAGACTAAGGGCCTGATCCTACAGTAGAACCGCAGTTATGGACACCTTGGGAACTCTGAAATGTTCATAATTCTGATCAAAGCACAGTTCAGGCTCCAGATCCAGCAGCTAACACTCCAGGGCAGGTATCAACAGCAGCTGAGCTCCCAACTTAGTGGGTTCATGAGTTTGCCAGTTTATCCCCCTACTAGCAGAGGCAGAGGCAGAGAGAGAGAGAGAGAGAGAAAATAAAATTGTGTGTGTGTGTATGCATGCGCATATGTGTATTTGTTTCAGAAAGCTGGCTCCATCTACCTTGGTCTAGCAACCCCAGCCTCCTGCTTTAAGTGGTTGCCCAATGCATGGGAGAGGGGAGAGGCAGCCCAGATTTGCCTACTTTTAAAATGCAATAAGGGCACAAAAGAGTATTTTTTTTTAATTTTATGTTTCTGCTGCTGCCTGATTGGTTTCTTCCAATTTCACATGGTGATCAATTGAGTGGTCAGTCTGTATCTCTGGTGTTTACACCTTTGAGGTTCTACTGTACTTCTATTGAAGTCAATGTCTAATTTCTCATTGGTTTCAATAACAGCAGGCCTCTTTAAAGATGTTGTAGCCCTGTTAAATCAAAGAGGTTTCTGTGCAATTGTATGTGCTGATAGTTTTCTCTAAGTGAACATAGCACACACAGACCCTGGACATCATGACAGAGGAGATTAATTATGGTTATGAAGTTATTATTACTGGTTTAGGCTCTATTTTGCAACAGGGTTGCAATTCTAGAGAGTTCTAATACTAAAACAAGCATTAATGATTCAAACAAGATACTAAATTTGTTTGCTCAGCTGTCATTCATCCCTTCAGACAGGTCTATTTTAAAGCCACTGATTGACAAAACACTCAGTTCTCTTTTAAAGACACATGTGCGCTCACCACATTTCTCTACCTTAGAAAAACTGACACTCTTTTATTGTTTTTATATTTTAATCTTGTTTCTGCTTTAAATAATCTTTGCCTGCTAGCATCTGGAAATTACCAGCTATGTTATACATGATCAGCAATGTGAAAGCTCCATAATTAAACTGTTCAAAGGACTTTTAGGCAGAAGATTCAGCCTTCTAGAGTCTGACTCATTTTTGTTTTTCTCATCTATTTGGGCTGCCAGATGATCTTGCCAGGCTAATATTTTTTTCTAAGTGATAATATTACTGGTAATCAGAAAAAAGAACATTCATAGCCTAATCATGTGTACTCTTCAATGGTGCTTTTAAAATATATATTTTTAGATATAGGTAAGTGAATATCTCTCCCTCCCAAAAATAGTCTTACCTGCTTGTAGTGTTTCAGCACCAAAACTGTCCTCCTTGTAGAAAGTTCTAAAACACAAGGGAATTGCATTGCAATCCTCTGAAAGTTTCTTGACAGCTTGTCTGAACACAGCAACCATATTATGAAGAGTCCTATCTAAATTGGCTGAAGAAGCAGATGGTGAAATCAAGCTTAGGCGTACTGAGATAGATGCACTACATGCAGAACTGGACTCCACAGCTTCACATTCAATTTGGCAATCCTCTGTTGACATCTTCATAACAAAAGTTCTCCTTTCTGGTGGATTATCCACTGCTGCAATGACATGCCACTCAATGAGAGCATCTTTGGGTAGGCAGGGTACCACGACCACAGTTAGCATCCCATAGACTGCAGCTAAATCACTGTACATTTCTGGATCTTCTGCCTAAAAATTAAACACAATATCCTGGACATTAGCAAGTAATGGAAAAATACAAGAGGCAGAACTGTGTATACCATAACAAAACCTCTACCATGAGAATATAATTCATAAAACTGGAAAAACTACAAAGAAAAAGTAAAAACATTGAACATTAAAATGAAAAGAATGACTCATAATTCATTAAGTGTATTAAAACAACTACACTGTGCATACTATGGTATATTCACAAGGATGCTTTTATTTGCTTTGCAATCTTTCTTACTGAGAAAAACTCACAATTGGTTAAGGTGACCTACAGCTAATATCCGTTAATCTTACCAAATTTAGCCTTCAACTAGGGTCTTTGTCTTTCAAAGGAGGAAAACTGATCTTCATTTTATGCTCCTTTTTATATTAGACAGGAATCAAAGAACAGCCTACATGGAATGTGATGTTCGTCCAGACCAATATTCTTTGAATGTAAGAAATGCTAATGGCGTTGATGAGGCCATGGAAATAGATGAGCACAATATGTGCATTCCCTGAAACAAATTTAGTTACCCATGACACAGGCTGTTCTGAGAAGCAGCATGGCTTGAACATAACTTTCTAAAGGGAGAACTTCTTCCTAGTGACAAACTCAGCCTGCACTAGCCCTGCAGGTCTAAGGTTATTCTTACACCAAGCCAACTGTTGTGCTTGTGAGCCATATTTAATAATAGTACACAAGACCTAGGGTAATATTTAGCTTCTTACCTTCCCTAGAAGCCTTGCAGAAATTACAAGCCATATTTTACCATTTATCTATGGAAAGGGAACAGAGGGCCCCAGATCACTGCATGTTCACTTAAGTTTCCTCTGGGAATGGAATTTGAGAAGCTGCACCCTTTTAAATCTAACGGGTTTCACAGAGAACTTTGGTTTGAATTCTTATTAATTCTGGGATTCATTGCTAGAGGTATTGCCCTTCTGGTATTGTTTGGTTTTGTGCTGCACCTGCCATCCCTTTTCTTCTGATAGCTCTGCTCCCTTGGGAGAGCAACGTACAGCTCTAAGATTTTAAAACCTGAACAGAAACTCAGAATGGCATACTTTAGCCTCCAACCATCTTGAAGTTAAGCATGGGCTTAAGTACTAACTATATATACTTATTTAATTAGGTTTCATCATGGTAGATAGATATTGATTTACATACTATATGGTCACAGTTACATCTCAGACCCATTTTAGTTCTTCTGATGTGCACTCGGGTGACAAACCTGGCTGAGTGGAGCCATGCAGCCCAATTATTCAACAGCAGATCTCTTGTTTCCCAGCTGCATTTTTACCAGGAGGAGTCCCACTGCTTTTGACACCTGTAAACCCAGGGGCCTGTGATCAGGAAGTTGATTAAAGTAGTGTTTTCAAAACAAAGCATTATTTATTCATTCCCTAAAGATACAAAGTATGTAGAACAAAGAAAGAAAGCAACAAAAGACGCACTATATATGTGGCCCTTACAGAAAGATTAAGGTATAAATACTCCTCAGACCTTCTAACCCCTATCTCTGTCTGGGAGAACAAATGCACTGCTCACAACATGCCGTCTTTGATTATATCCATGCCAGACTGTCAGCTTTCATTGATACTCTCTGGGCAATTGCTGGCCACGCACTCAACTTTCCTCTCTTTTCTAGGTCTAGGATCATTAAATAGTTTAGTGTTCCATTTGATCTCTGTCTCTTCATCCTTGGCAAAACATCTATGACACAAGGGCGGGGCCAATGAGCTGCCTCTTCAAGACTATGGACCTAGCTGCCATGTTGGAGATCTTGTTGAGATATTCCTTTATCTAGGCCATTGTTCTGTTTTTTTTCCTTGGTTCTTTAACAACCCCTTTTGATCTAACAAACCAGCAAGGAGCCCACTATAAACAAGCACAGAGACATGAAATGGATTTATCAAAACAAATACAGATATTTCCCATTTCTCCACATATATGTCTATGTTTTTTGTTTTTTTTTTAAAGAGTGCCGGTACTCCAGGGGAAAAGTTGTTTAGTTCTGACCGGGGGTGCCAAAACTGCATCGGGAGGTGCCAGTACTGAGTCACAAAAAAAGCACTGTCTCTAACTGATCTCTTGAATTGGGGCCTACATGAGTAGCGTCATCTTATGTATGTAGAATGTATTTCAAACACATTTCATTCATGAAATCTAATTTGTTTATGAAAGTAAATCTAGTTTTATATATATCCTCCTGAAGGAATACTGTGTTGAAGGAATAATAAATTATTTTATTTTACCTGTCTTCTGAGCCCATGAGTTTTTATTTAACCAACTTTTAGATTTTTCTCTCTGGTCAATACCTTTTTCCAGTTTATTTTTAAAGAGATCACACAGTACATACACTTGATAATAGTGACTTATACTTTCTTTGCTTTTGTATTTATTGATAATAACTTTTTTATATACTAATTTGCTTACACTGCAGTCTATACTGGTAATTCTGTACACTGTCTGACCTATGAATGGAAAAATAATAACAAGTTAAAACAGTCATTTTACCTGAAGTCGATAAGGCCATAACACTCACCCTGCCTTCAATTCACATGCTCAATTTTCATCCACTCACTCTCGACTTCGAGAGGAAGGAATAATGACAGGTTAGAAGCACTTTATTTCAAAATTCACTCACAAAGTTATTGACAAGCATTTTTCCACAGAAAAGTCTTTGCTGCTTGACCCTCGTGAGCTGTTTACATGAAAAATGCACTTACTTCTAGATTAACGATAGTGGAGTCTAATTCTATACCAAACTTACAGCAATTGCTTTAGCATCTCTGTTTTTGATATAGGGCCAGAAATAGGGATAATTTGTCTCAAATTGCAGTCACTTCAGTCATAATAAAATCTCACTGAGTACTGTTTGCTTTCAGTACTTTCATTAGGTAAGCTGGGGCTGTTATTAAGGTACCAACACATAAATGTTATATTAGCACTTAACAGTAGCACAATATTCTCCTCCAGGAGATGAATTCTAACCTTGTCAATATAATTCTGCTCTGAGTGCTGTAAAACAGTTTGAAAAGATGAAATATTGGTGCTTTGCACTGGAAAAAAAAAAGTCATGCTCATTGAGGCTTAAAGGCCATTTTGTTGGCCCAAGGTGATGAGGTACTGTTTAGAAAATAAGTCTAAAGAAGCTCTCTCAGGTCAAGTCAAGCATTGAGACAAACTTTTCTACTTTCTTGTACTTGTCTTAGGTTGTTAAATCAATTGCTTAGTATTTCTGCTTGCCTTCAGTTGCCATTTAGAATATGAGATGAAATGCAAGAAAATTAAGGCCAAGATAAAGTACATTGCCAAACAACAAATGATAATCACTCTGAGTGAAAGGCATGCACAGCGCACCCAGTCTCTTAAATAAGGCCCTACCAAATTCACAGTCCATTCTGATCAAGTTCACAGCCATAGGATTTGAAAATCAGTCAATTTCACAGTGTTGTAACTGTGAAGGTCTTCACCTAAAAAGAAGTTTGGGAGGCAAGGGATTGCAAAGATGTTATAGGAGGGTCATGGGATTGCCACTTTCACTTCTGTGCCTTCAGAGTTGGGCAGCTGAAGGAAGTTTCCACAAGTAGAGGTGAGTCTGATTTCCCCTGTGCTGCTGGGAACACCCCAACCAAGGACTCCAACCCGCAATTCCCATCTGGGCAGGGGAGGGAAAGGACTTCCCATGCACAGTTGCTGTTCGGGGAATATCAGATTCACTTCTGGGTACTCGCCCTGGCTGCGGGACACTCCATGGCTGGGGCACTGCTAGTAGCATGGGGTAGATTGGACCCACCTCTGGACTCCTTCTCTGGATGCAGGAAGCTCTGGAGCTGCTGCCCAGCCACAGAACTTCGTGCAGCAGGTGCAGGTACTCGGAGGCAGGTCTGATATTCCCCTGAGAGCAGTTGCACCTACTCAGCCCAGGGATTATTAGCATCTGGAGACTAGGTAACAGCAAGACCGACTGACTGCTCCACTTCCCATCCCCAGCTCTGCCCCTCCCATTTCACTCCAGGATTTATTTCATGGTCCTCAATTTGATAGCATCCTTTCATATCCATCATGCAACACCCCTCACCTTTACTTTAACATATCCCAATGGATGGAGCTGCTGGGAACTAAAGATCTTTCTTTTCTATTATTGGCTCTTCAGAAACTCTTTAAAAAATGACCTCTGTCAACTTATTTTCAAGAATGCACCATCATTTTCGTACAAAAGAGATATTCTATTTGTTTGAAAAAGTGAGCCAAATATGTTATTTCCAAACTGCCATAAATAACTGAATATCCTTTCTTTAGTATCTGTGGCATACAAGGTATTTTTTAGTATCAGGAAGTACTAGAGAACATTGTACATAAGAAGCCAGAAGTATATAAGGCAAATTGGTAATTTTTTGAAGTTACTTATCTAGTCATAGTTATATATTTATCTTTAAAATGTGAGTGAGTTATACTGGATTGAGAAACCACTGGTAAGAAGTTGTACAGGGGCCCTGATTCACCAAGATACTAAGCACATCAAGTAAATGGAAATATTCACTGTGTTTACATTTATTCACATGTTTAAAGAGCTTGCAGCACTGGGGTCTACGTCTGTAAATATGGTCAGGTTAGGAGCTAAACGCTGTATCAACCCTTTTGAGCTAACCACTGCATCAAAACTTTTAATATAAAAAAATCACTTCTTGCTCAATGAACATTCAACTCCCTAATTTTTAAACATATAATTAACCTGCATCTTCCCACATTAACAATAAAATGGCCATTTAAAACAGAACTGCTATATGCTCATACACAAATGCTTTCCTGAGTTTTCATTCTGTCAGAGGACTTGTAAGTGTATATGCCTCTCTTGATCAGGACATGAAGGCAAATTAACTACAGACATGTGAGATGGACATAAGTGGCAGGCCATACATTTATTAATAGAACACTGCAATGTGGAAGGGTATCAGCTATTTAACTAATTTTAGTGGAGGGTTACTATTAG